TTTTAGGAAAAAAAGTTATATGAAGTACTGGTGAAATTTTGACCCCATCTATACATTCCCGAGAGGAAAAGAGGAAGTCCAGGGACACCCTGTATACCAAAGCAAACTTGAAGAAGCTATCACTATTTTTCATCATTTATGAATATTAATAGCCCTGACCATCGACATTTCTGAATATCAATTGTGTAAAAAAAAGAATCACCACCCCTCCTGTTTTGCGTTTCACTTTTTTAGATAAACCGTTTTGTTTACAGTTTAGAATTGTTTTGGTGCATTATTCTGACAAACAAATGTATACTTGCATTGTTATTTGTTAGTTCAAAATCAAATACGTTGAATTTCAGTTTATGGAAAAACAAAATAGTTTCAATGATAAAAAGTCATTACTGTAGAGTGCGGACTGTAGTCTTAGCGTTTCATCACACTAAGTCTTTTGATATTTCAAATAGTTCTGTTTCTTTATTTGTATGGAAGTCTTCTGGCATTTTCAAATTGACAAAGTTAAAATTTATTTCAAATGCCGTGGTTGCACTTTATCAACGATGAAAAGCAAGCATTCTAATTTGATAGACAAATAAAACTGATACAGATACCTCACTCATGAATAAAAATAGGCTGGGATATGAGAATATCCAAAATAGCAGAAGTCTCAACTTACTTAAACTAGCGAAAAATGTGATCACTACCGGTCAGAATGGAATGCGAGCCAAAGGCAAGCATAATAAATCGTTCGAGAGAGTAATGATCATTTCTCGCGGGTGAAATACTATACTTTTTCTATGACTTTTTAGGGAGTATCTGAAAATAAGATTCATCCAAAAAATCCACCTGATATATTTGAATATTTCTTTTTAACTTCGTAATGACCAACATACTCATCTCAACAATCCATGATTGAAATGAAATTATATAATGAACTATTCACTACGCTGAAGAACTGAAATTTAAATCAAATTTGAAAAAACATTTCTTGCTATAAATATTTTTTATTTTCCACTGCCTTGCTGGTAAAAGTTCTGGAATCTTACTCCTATTAATATCTTATTGTTACTGATTAAGTTATTACTGTCGACTTTAATTTCCCTTTTACAAACTAATTTTTCTAGTAATAAATGATTAATAATTCGTCAGGATCTTACGAACGACAAGAAACAGCCTAAAATATTATCAAAAGTACATCCTATTATTGTTATTGAATTGAATTACAAATATTTTGAAAACTGGGTAGTTGAAAAATGAAATTGCCATCTCTTATTGAAAATTTAACCCAGAACTCTTATGTATAAGTCGCGTGTTCTACCAACTACTTCACAAAGATGTATACAAATTAGTGTGACTCAAAATTATTAGTTTCAAACTAGTCTCATTTTGTCATTAAATGACGATTATTGAAAAATATCACCTTTTTTGCGGCATTACAAATTTCTGTTTTTTTTTAAATTTCAAAACAAATTGTTAGTTCAGTGAACGAATTTGATGTAGGTTAGGTTAGGTTTGGTGGGGTTAGGTTGGGTTAGGTTAGGTTAGGATAGGTTAGGTTAGGTTATGTTAGGTCAGGCTAGGCTAGGCTGGGTTAGGTTAGCTTAGGTTAGGTTAGGTTGGATTAGGATAAGTAAGGTAAGGTTAGGCTTACTGAAGGCTCATTTGCTATTCAAAATAATTGAAAAACAACTGTTAAGTTGTGAATTAACTCATCTGTGATCGGATTCGAATGTTGTAAGTTATGATATCGTCGCCTTCCTACCCAACAAGAAACGGTCACATCATGGAGGCTGATTCATCTCCATCTGAGTTTCTCAATTTTTTTAAAGAAATTTGGAATAGTGAACGATGTCACAAAGTCTGATAATTCTTTTTCTTTTTGGAAATGAAAGAAACTTGAAACGTTGCAAAAAAATCGTGTATCTATTCGGATACATTCCCGATTCACACCCAAGTACTAGAGAGATTATAATTTTGCTGGACATTCAAGAACTTCATGAAAACAAATAATCAAAAATCAAAATACAAAAGAAAACCAGAGCGGAACATAAATACCTGTTGTAGCTGTCCGTTCCGTCACCGTCAATAAATCCATGGTTATGTTTTTCACTCATGATCATTACTGGATCTACCTACATTCACGTTTTGATTTTTACCGCGTTACAATTGAAATCCAGACACTTCGTATTCGATGTACTCGTGCGTATCTTCTACTGAATCTACTGACTTGTAAATGTCGAATAAAATTTTTTGATTAAAATACCTAGAAGTTATGAAACCATCACAATTACTACGAGTCGCAGCAAAAGTACAAGTATATGGCTGTTGCTAAATTATTATTAGATTTTTTTATCGGCTGATTGCTCACGATTTTATTCTTGGTCCGGTTATTTGCGACCGCGCAACTGAAGGTAAAACAACGGAAAAAGTATCCTTTTATTTCATAAACAGGGTCGAAACTGATTGCCCCCACTCACCACCATATAGATTGAAGGTAATTCGAAGTGAAGGTGAGCCAAACAAGTACTCGTGGGTAAACATGATAATGTCTAGTTGGGAAATTGCTAGATTGTTAGACCGAAAAGAGGTTGAAAAAACAGCGATGTTGAATCTTATGCCTATGTTTCGATAATTAAGCCTGTTAAAATCTGTTTTTCCGTTAACCAGCTGTCGACAACTCTCAAAGTCGAAACTTGTGCGAGCTAAGCACCAACGAGGTCTTACCTTTTAACGTGTGATTCCTAACATGGGTTAGACGACAGGAAGTGAAAATCGATCGTCCTTGCGGTTCGAACCACCGGCTCGCACAGCGGTCGATTGAGTGAGTGGAGCAAACCACTCACGTCAACCTACCAGGCTTCCATCCCCTTTGATATAATATTTTTCAAGACTTGCCGAAAACAAAGATGAAACTCGATTTGGTTTTCTACTTCTCCATCTTTATACAAAAAATGTGGGAATCTTCCAAAGAAAGAAAGGAAGCAATCAATTACAAAAAATTGACTATATACTACTTTCATATGAACACTGATTTATACAAAAAACACTTTTGTCTATTCAGTTTGTATCCCAAACATTCGTTATGGAAGTAAATCAGATATCATGCACAGGATTGCTACACAATATAGTAAATGAAACAGGGAAAATTCCACTCACATGGAACAGTGAGTGGAAATCCGATGTTTCAAAATAAGACACTTGCTTCATTGCCTCTTCAGTGCCTCTTCAATCTGGGTAACATCATAAAGTGAAGCACTCAGTTCATTCATAACATTACGATTTTATTTATTTTTAGTCCAGAAGGGCTTAATGAATGAAATATAAGTTCACAATAGTTTTAAATCAGTGGTGAAATGAGGCTATCAAGTTGACACTAATGAACAATTTTCCAGATATAAGCATCGTATGTGTCCAAAAATTCATTAATTTCTTTTTTAGTCCGGTCAAATTAGACTAAAAAATAAGAGTGGAGGTACATAAATTTACAACAAGCTGCAAATGCGTGTAATTTTTCAAAACATAGGTAAAAACAAGATTTCAAAATTCCGAATGATTGCGATGCCTGGAAAAAAATGTATTCGAGGTCAAAGGTCAAAAATCGTTTTTTCGCGATTTTCAGGAAAACGGTAAGTTTTTTCATGAAATAACTTCAGATAAAAAACTTTCACATTTATATTAGTATAGATTGAAAAATAAAACTTATCAAAAATATATTCAAAAGATGTAACTCACACTGAAAATAATCAAAAGCAGTCGATCAAAAATTTATTGAGGGGTCTAGTTTCGAGAATCAGATGAGTCACTTTCCACAAAAAAACTAATGAAATAGATGTTTTTGAATGAAAAAAAAAGTTTTTGAAAACATTCCACTCACACGGTAAAAATTTTGTGAACAATTAACATATCAGTATGATTTTGTGACTTATCCGGTTTTGACGTATCAATTTAAGTAACTTTTATTCCAATCTGATATACAGAACTACTGAGCAATTATCTTCCTAAAGTTTCCACTCTTTGCGGTTGGATGTTTGTCCAGTGACTGATATGATATCCTTGAATATTATTCCTTCAATCAAAAAAAACAAAGGTGTTGCTGGATACATTATACACAAGATTCAAAATGGCTGTTTTACCTCTTTTACAAATTTTTTGGAAAAATTAGATCAAAAACATTTTTGAAACCAGCGAAATACATCCCTAATTACTGACTTCTGTAGGTACATTTTAGACACTTTAGATTACATTATTTCGTAAGGATCTCGTTTTTTTTTAAATAAAATTCAATCCATATTACTTGCTAATAATATCGCTTTTTGGTGTTGAAAGAATTTTTTGAAATTGGTTTGTCACTACAAACAAACATATTTTTTTCTTCTCAAAATTAGTTTGCTTATTTAACCGCGCTTAAAATAAAATCCATGAAGCATGTCATCAGATATTTTTATTATTTTTCAAACATTTTTTAACACAATAATAAGCAATCCGGAATATATAAAAGTAATTTACATTTCATATTTACATAATTTCCAGTTGTTTGAGACTAGAAAAAACATTAATTTACATATCTACAAACTAAGTCATAAACAATTTGCGAAATATTTACAAACAATACTTTATTAAGTATAGTTGATTTGAGCCCTGAACATATAGGATTATACTTAGCTATTCAGACTATAAAATTAAAAAAACTCTGGTTCTTGTGTAGCAGTAGATATTTTATCTGTCAGCATTTCGTTGGAAAGTACAAAAAGTAAATAGATATGAATTCATATTTATCTATTTTGAAAAGTTATCTGCACAAACATTATTTGCTGTGCTGCGATATTACTCAAATAAATCAATGCATGTGGACCTATACAATTTGTTCTGACTACTTCTTCTTAAACCGTAGTAGTAGAAAAACTACATCGTAAAATATGCTTTCTTGTTTAACATTTTATTCAATGTTCGATGAGAATGAACATCAAACAATATGTATATAAAAATTATGGAACGCATTTCTAGTTGAGTATTCACTTCCTGATTGAAATTCTGACCTGTATATGATAAAGAGGAGAATATGAACCAGTTGATTTCCTCCACGTTTTGATGTATTGATGTAAAAAAAAGGTTGTTTACTTAAAAGTAGTATATCACACTGTTGAGTTGGTTCCAGAAAATTTCTCGACTATTTTCTCCAAACTCGTAGAAGTACCTATTACGAGTCCTATGATGGCAAAACAGAATATGACGATGTTCCTGACGATGATCATAGTTCCTCTGACACCTTTCAAAGAGTCCCAATGGGTGCTGATGTAGATGAGGGCTGGAAAAGCCAATCCCAGTGCTGACAAACTGAGAGCTCCAAATAACGAGATGAATAGTTCGATGTAAGGTACAGCTACGGCCAAACAGACTGAAAATTAATAATTCAATTGCATAATTTGGCCATAATACATGAAAAATATCTTTTCTTTGACAAAAAATTTATAGAAGTCAATTTATTGAGTGTTCTACCTGAAATTCTGTTCATAATCTCAATCTTGGAATATTATTAGATGAATTAGAAATTATTGCAGAGCTCTTCTATAGTAACTCAGCCTAATGTAACCTTATTTGACCTGAATTTACTGAATAAAATGAAGATACTTACAGGTAATAAAAACCAAAAAAGTTCTGACAGCATACTCGTAATATATTTGGTGTGGATTCTTCTCGAATAATGGCTGCAAATACTCTTTCCAGGCAATACAAATGGCTGGGTACATTTGGAGAGGATGGGAAGTGTATATGGCAAGAGAAAGCATCACTTTGCAAACTTGTGCAGGTCTGGAAAACAAATAATTGAGGCTACTTGAAAACTGTGAGGATTTGAGATCTCATATTTGGCAAGCATTAAAAAATTAAGTGCAAAGTATACGATGAAGTGATATATAAAGTAAATTGAGGTTCGTCCTTATGATAAAGAATTATATGGAAAGTAGTTCAAGTTACAAGTTCTAAAGTCAATTGCATATCAGGCCAGCCCAACTTCTATCAGCTCTTCGTTAGAAGAAAATTTACAACGTTTCAGACTTTTTTTCAGTTGACAAAATGTATGATAGTCTAACGGAGCTAGATCTGGGGAATAAGGGGGCGTTAGAGTAATTCAAATCCACAATCACTAATTGTATGTATGGCAGCATGCGATTTTTGTGCAGATACAAAATATCTCGGAACATTTTCTCTTGTTTTGTAGTACTAAGGTGTGTTCGAAGGGCCCCACCTCAACATGCTATCCCATAGCGTAAGTGCGAGGTAAAGAATGGTGGGTGGAGAATATTTCTCTTAAGGTTTTGAATTTGTATACAATACTTTGCAGTTTTTTGCGAATGAATTTCAAGTGCTCATTCCATTTGAGATGCGAATCAGTAATTACCACTAAATACTTAATCTTATTTTCAGGATTATACATGAAAGGCGTGGTTTGTTCGTGCTACTGCAAATGAATGTACTGGGTTTTTTTCAAATTTATGGTTAATAGTTTATGTTCAAGCCAGTTTTCTATTGTATCAAAGTCCGATTCTACGGTATATTTTAATTCTTGCCAATTATTTGCCTTATAGAATATTGTAGTGTCGTCTGCAAATCCTGAAATTTTTCCTTTACTTTCCAGACAGAATAATTCATTTATGAACAAAATGAAGTGGGTCCAAGAACCGTACCCTGAGGTATCCCAGTATCAATATACTTCTCACTGCTTATAATTTCATCTATTCTCACCGTTTGTACTCTGTTCGTGCCATTATCTTCCATTGGTTGTAGAAGCAATGTGTGGTGGACATTGTCAAACTCTTTCGATAGGTCTATGAAAACGCAGAGACTCGGCTTATTTTCATTAAGAGCAGAAGATATTTCAGATGTTAATGCCAATATTGCATCTTGGGAAGATATATTTTCTCCTAATCCAAACTGATGATCAGATATTAAATTGTATTTTGAGATGTATGATGTTAGTCTTTTTTTGAGTATTTTCTCGAAAACTTTAGTTTTCGCATTTATAAGAAATATTCAGTAGCAGACATAGAGGGTGGACAAAGACTTCGTCTTCAATGGTCAATTTTCTTCTTTTGAACTTTGAAATACAGTTTAATGTACTCCAACTTTCTTCAAGAGAAAGAACAGCATATAAGAAATTTTTGGAGTGATCAGATTCCAAACTGTCTTTTGGTAGTTGAGCATGGATTTAATCCTGACTAAGACGTTTAACATATGGAAGGAAATACTTTAAAACTTAAAACATTCGCTCAATAACCAAGAAGAAATGAATAACTTTTCTTTATTGAACTTGTGTTTCAATGATGGAATTGATAATTAGTGGAGATTTCAAGTGAAGTGTCTTCAAGAACACATGTTTATTCAATGAGTTTTTTTCCAAAATTGTTGAAATTATTATTTTAATAGTAGAATTTCGATTATTATTTTATATTATCAAACTAGATACCAACAAAAAATCTGATGATCATCAACAATATGTGTTTTAAATCTTTCTACACAGATCATTGTAGCGAATGTGATTTTTCCTGAATGACTAAAATCATTTTATTCTGTCAGTTGACCTTTTATATGGTGTAACTTTGCAAATTACGTTTTATGATTTGATACTTACATGTCATTCCCTATTGCAAATGATATCGAACCACCTACGTCAGAGCCATATGCCAAGTAACCATATAATCCCAATCCAGTGTACAAGGAGACTATGACCATCATTGCTGAATTGAGAACTCCACAAATCCCCAAAAATGATTTGGGTGTTTTCATCTCGTTTTCCAGAGGCATGATCTGAAAAATTGGAATGATGTCAAGGTTTGCTTTTTCATGAAGCATTATTTGCAGAACTGAAACTTTAGTCCAGAACTCTTGAAATATGTAAAAGCTGAGAGAGAGAGAGAGAGAGAGAGAGAGAGAGAGAGATTCTCTGCCTGCTTTTTATGCCAAAAATAAGTTTCAAACAGCAGTTCTGGATTTTCCGAATACGCTGACTATCCAAGCAATCTAAACATGGTCCATATACAATATCACAATAGTTGAATTGGGAGAGCACTAATGAATCACACAGCATTTTTTTTACATCTTGGCCTAAATAGTGATTTTTTTTTTTATTTTGGTTTTTGTAAAAAAATGCTGATCTATAAATAGATCGCTGGGTGTTGAAATGATACATCTGCAGTAAATCAAATGAAGTTTTATTGAGGAAAAATGCACATAAGTTCTAGTTTTTGCGATGAAATTTACTGAAACAAGTTACACATAAAGTGACATCACATTTTTTGCAATAAGTAAGAGGTCGACTTTTGCACATACTAAACTGACATCGACGTTGATTTGATCTCTTTTCAAGGAAATGCCCTTTTTCATCTAGTCTCACACTGTCCAAAACATTAGGTCTTGATGAACATGGGACGCTGAGTGACCTTCCGTTCAGAACACTTTTTCCATGACCGAGTTTCAAATAGGTCACTGCAATCTCTCTCCTAAAATCTTTTATTGAAATCGACTTCTGTCCATGAACCCTTTCTGAGATATGTTTTTTTAGTTTCTGTTTGAAATTAGCGAGGGTTGCATTTTTCATTGATTGGGGCAGTGAGTTGTACAATGATTTATATTAGTTACATCTCCTTGTTATTTCTAATCTTTGGTTTGGTGCTCTAATATTATCCTTGTTCCTAGTATTATACGAATAGTTGTACCGTTTGTAGTAAACTTTTGTGAATTTTCTTGAATGTGTATCAGATTGCAGTATATTACACATGATGGCAGAGTTAATATATTGAACTTAATAAAACCAATTCTTGCAGCTCTCAATTTGACCTATTCCAGCTAAAGGTCTGATTGTTCTTTTTTGAATTTTAAATATTCTCGAGATATGAACATATGTGCCTCAGTTTAGCAATCCATAAATTAAGGAACTATGAAACATTGCATGATAAGCGGTATGGGCAGCTTTATTACCGACTTTATTTTTTATCTGCCTGATTTCATAGACCTTGCATGATATATTTTTTGCTAGTTTGTTAATATGGGGTTTCCAAGTTAACATTGAATCAATGGTTATACCAAGACATTTCACATTATTTGGGAGATTATGGGACGGCGAGAACATAACTGTTTGTGTCTTTCTTTTATTCACACATAGGTTATTCGCATTAAACCAGTCCGTAGCTTCTTGAATAACTCGCTTTTCTAATTCTGATGACTCTTCAATATTTTTTTTCCGAATGGCGAAGGAAGTGTCATCGGCAAATAGCATTGTAAACATTGTCATTGAATTTGGCAGGTCATTGATATAAATCAAGAAAAGTAGTGGCCCAAGCACACTACCTAGTGGAACACCATTCAATATCTTTGTAAGCTACTGAGTTCTTCATTACATGATACGCATTGCTTTCTCTCATTTAAATATGATGCTAGCAGACTGCGTGCTATGCCTGCAAATCCATAGTATCTCAGTTTATCTAATAAAATGTCAGTAGAGACACAGTGGAACGCCTTGCTCAGATCGATGAATATGCCAAGTGTTGATTCTTTGTTTTCGAAACCTTCAGTTATGAAGTCGACTAATTCGAGCACTGCTTTCGACGTGCTTGTTCCTTTCTTGAATCCAAACTGTCTATCTGTCAAGATAATTGTGTACTCTAAGTAGCCTAAGTAGCCTGAGAATTATCTAATATTTCTTAGGTTAGTTGAAATGAAAGTTAAAACAGTTTCCAATTCAGTGTTGTACGAATAATATTGAGGTATATGATTGAACTTTTCTTCGATATTCTTGTACATTGTACGAATATCGCATAACCAAGAACCCTGTGGAATGTTTAAGGTAAGTAACTTTAGTTGTACTTACGGTGTGTATGGAGCAATTCTTTGAAAAAATGGAGGGCCATCTTGAAATGCACATTCTGCCGTAGTCGGGTATGTCATTCGAGGAACGTTCCGTCTTTTGCACAGCTCGTATTCGCAGTTGATGAGCATATGTATACAGTATGTACATAAGCAACCTATTAAAATTGTAGCTATCGTTCCGAGAATGTATCCTGAATGGGCAAATGCCAAAGGCATGGCAAGAATCCCGGTTCCTAGGCTACCTTTGAGAAGATGGAGTAACGTTTCTATATTCCTGGAAAAAAAAGAATTTGTGGGTTTACCCAAGCACACCAATGAGTAATCATGAAGGTTAAAATTGCCGTGGTTATGTATTAATCCAGTAACTTTGTCGCCTGAAAGTATGGGGTATATAACACCATCAAGGGCCACGAGATCAGTCTCTGAGCAGTTCAATTTCAGAGAACACTGTTGTCTATGTGGAGACAAAATAACTGAAGAGTTCCTTGTAGCAGAAAGGAAGAAATAGCCAGAAAAACAAAACAATGTCATTACTGCGGAAAAGTTGTCTCTCAGTGCAATAATTTCGAAAGAAGCTGACAAACGTGGTGATTAATGGGCTCTTAAAATGAAAGAACATGTATCTGAGAACACAGATTTGGTAGCCCTTGATGCCAGATATCATCGGGTTTGCCAAACAAAGCTCTACCAGGCACCACCAATAGGAAAGTCCAGGTGAAATCGTCAGCATTCCACAGTTGATAAGGCCATGGAAAATATTTATTCATTTCTGGAAGAGAACGCTGAGGAGTGTCAGTTCTCTCTAGACGAACTCATGGATCAGATAGAAGGAGAACGACCTCAACTACGAACAGTCAAAACTCACTTGTTTGCAAAGTTTCGGGAGGACATTTTGATCATTGAGAGACCCTTCAAACACACGACTGTTTGTTTTAAAAGTAGAAAGAAAGACTGCGCATGGTGAAAGCAGCTGCTGAAGTCATACGAGAGGGTATACGGTCGCAAGTGTACACCACACCATCCGACGACTTTCTCCAGAATGTAAATTCATTTATCCCTGATTCTTTAAAACTGTTGTTCGAAACGGTAATTTTAAAAGACAAACGAAGCTGCTTGAATTCCTATAGAAAGAAGTGCGTCTGGCCTCGTTTGGTTATCTCTCGTTTACTGCAGAGGATTGGTGCTTTCTTGTATCACAAGTTCAGGTCAAAACATTTGGTTGAGTTGTCAACGCTTGGATTCTCAGCTAGTTACAAGGATACTGTGCTTTTGGAAACCTCGG